ATTGCCTTAAAATAATTTTATTTATAATGATAAATAATTATAAACAATGAATTTTTAAATATTTTTCATGTAAAGTAGTTGCAACTGCTTTTGAATGAATGAAACTGCTTTTTTCTCCCAAATCTCTGTCAAAGGAATTGATCTGTATTTATCAGTAACAAACTTAATGTTTCTTACTAAAATTCACGTTTAAAATAAAGAAAACTACTGATTGCTTTAATTATTTTCATGAAAACGTAAATATTTGGGCTAGAAATATTGTTTGACACTTATAAATGCAGATCAATTTCAACGACAGGGATCTGGAAGAAAAAAACAGTTTAACCACTTTACATGAAAAATATTTGAAAAATCATTTTTTATTTTTTTTTTTAAATGTGTTTGTAAGCAATTATATATATATATATTAAAATACATACTCTATCACGACAAAACAAGAAATAAAAGCTTTGAAACAGTTAATGTAATTTTTGCAGAAAACATGGGTTCTTTGAGGTGACTCGATAGAATTTACTACTTTCCATTTGTTGGAATACAGCTATCAAAATTATTTTGTTATAATATTCAAATAAACTCCCTCAATAATCCAAAAACATAACATTTTGGCTCCCCCAACCTGTCATAACCACCTCTTTCGTTGTTTTAAATAATTACAACCAAAATAATACAACAAATATATATGGTTGAGAAATTAGTTGGGAGTTGTTTTCACTATGAACCTCAACTACAATACCTAGAGTCAATTATTTATTTAATCTTTATTTGTTTTCAGAGAAGAATCCTAGACAAATAGAGTCTATATTTGTATAACAAACATTATTACTCTTATGGTATTACAAATATTTTTCTTTTTTCCATTTATATACTACATCCCAACATATATTATTACAGTAAGACTCGGAATTGGTTTTGTACCAAATATAAGCTCCTGTCATGCTCAAATACCATGAATGGGGTACCGTTGGATTCAGAATTTCACGGGCGATTAGCGAATCCTGTTTTTGTTTTTCTGTCTAAAATAAATAAAGTGTAAATAAACATGTTGCTAGGCTTCTTTACTGGAACAGTGGTAAGTCTGTATTTAAATATGGGATAAATTGGGCTTTGAAGATTTTGATGCGTAAACCATCATTCGAAACTAGTGGGCCCTGCGTTTTAAAGGCCAAAAACAAACTATTTTCGAGATTATGCAAGGCAAAGGGTTCTTATCCACACAACCTTACGTTAATTGTAGTACTGTCATAGAATATATGTCTCAGTTTGTCGACTTGAGGAGCCTATGATCAAGAGAGGAGGAGCTTATATTGTTTATCAAAGGTGTTTTTTTGCCATTAATCCACATCATCGTTAATTCTTCATGACATTCACAAGATTGAGTCAACAATTTTAAAGGTTTCCTTCTCTTTCAGGCGGAAAAAATTGTCCAATCACCCAGAAAATTTAGGCAAAAAAGTTATGATAGAAAAGTAACTTTGAACGAGTTGCCCGGCAACCAGATATATAGTTTTGAGAGACAAAAATAAGTACAAGTTCGGGGATTTTAAATTCCCCGCCCTCACCCTCCGGCCCGGGGAAATCCCGTATAGCCTAAACAGCGAGGTAGGGACAAAAAAAAAAAAAAATAAAATAAAAATAAAAAATAGGAGAAACTATACCTGACAGGTTATGCTTGCAAAAGTATTCTTCAATACCCGACAAGAAGAGATTAAATAACTCAGTGTCTCTCGTTGCAGCACAACTTAGGTAATTTTCACTTTCCTACCTATACTAGGTAAGGAAAGTATTACGATCGGGTCAAATTTCAGATACGCGGTTTTCGATGGATCTGTACATTTCAGAGCCTCCTGAGTTCGAAAACACACAAAAACGAAGCCAAAAAACACATTTTAGTCATTAGTTTGTCTGTCTGTATGTGCCAAGATTTTCTTAGGAACTAGTGAACCGATTTTGTTGCTACTTTTTTTATTTAGAGTTTTGATTACTGATACCTGTGACACAAATTGGGTGCTCTATGCGCAATAGCTGCTGGCCAATAAATGAAAAACATGTTTTTCTATAGAGTGTAGCGAGAAAACGGCTCAAACGATTTTGATGAAACTTTCCTATAATGTTCTAATAATTGTCCTTTCAATTTTCATGAACTGAATTTCTGAGAAAATTCAGAAAAAAAAAAGGTATAAATAAAAGAAAAACGTTTTGGGGTCTAACTCGCTAAGTATATGTTCTATGGTAAAATTTATAATAAAACTTTTGAAAGGTAATTAAATTATCAACAAAACCAAAAAAAAACATCGGAATCAAACCTGTATTAGTGATGATATAGCTTATTCTAGTTTCTATACCTATACAAGGTAAGGAAAGTATTGAGATCAGGTCCGAGAGAAATTTCCAATAAGCAGTTTTCAAGGGATCTATACATTTCAGAGCCCCTTGAGTTTAAATGTAATAAGGTTTTTTTGAAAGGTAATGAAGTTTCTTCCAAAACTATATAAAAATTGTAAATTTCGGACAACTATTAACGAAGTTACAGCTATTCAATCTCCAATGTAAGATTACGGGTTCATATCCTGGTGTCAGAAAAGGGAGAATGAGAGACAGTCTTAGTTATCTTAACTTAGTGAAAGTAAGAAAACCTGTTGTCACATCACAAAACCTTCACTATTTCCGCTACTTTTAACATAAATTATCGATTGCTCGGTCTGGAAATGGTGCCACCCCTAAACTGTTTTATGATACTCCAAAAAGTTGAGCCATCGTTAGTTGTTCAGAGAGTTTCAATTGTTATTAAATTATATAAAAACTAGTAGGCCCGTGCGAAAAATTCGCACAGCGTATTGTTTTCAAATGCCTAATTATTAAGAAAAAAAAAAATAATGCAACGTATCAAAAGATAAAAAAAATCAATTGTTACTTAATCGATGAATATAAACGACAAAGGAAACAAAAATAATTTTAAATCTTCATTAATGTTTAGAACCAACATATTTAAAAATTTCAATAAGCTGTATCTTAGCTAAAAATTGTCCGATTAGCTATATGCCAAATATATAGTTATTTTCAAATAAAATGGGCTATAATAGAACTCTCCTAATGAATATTAATCGAAAATAAGAAAAAAAAAATATTGGAAAAATTTCTAAACAATTTTGATGATTTTTTTTCCCCCTTTGCAAGGAATTTAGTAATTTTTTATATTATCATGGGCATAACCAAGGAAAAAGTGTGTAATTTTTTAGTTATTCGCAAATAAAGTGTGCTTACTTTCATAACTTGTTTGCCTGAATTTTCGGGTTGATTTGCCTATTTTGCCCGCCTGAAGGAGAAGGAAGCCTTCAAAATTGGCGGTTCAATCTTGAGATTTGGTGAAGAATTAACGATAATATGGCTTGCCGATCAAAAACACCATCGATAAATAATATAAACTCCTCCTCTCTCAATCATAGAGGCCTCAAGTTGACGAAATGAGACATGTATTCAATGACAGTACTACAATTAACGTAAGGTTGTGTGGATGCGAACCCTAGGATCCAATAGTTCTGGAGGAACTATCCAGGTCTTGCTGTACGCATCAAAATCTTCAAGGTCCAATTTATCCCGTATCGATCTACAGACCTACCACCATTCCTTTTTTTTTTTTTGTTCTTCCCTACCTCGCCTTTTAGGCTATACGGGATTTTCCAGGGCCAGGGGGTGAGGGCGGGGAATTTAAAATCCCCTCCGACACCGGGACACGAACTCGTACTTTTTAAATCTTCTCAAATCTGTAATCCGGTTGCCAGGCAACTCGCGGTGCTGTGCACACGCTTTAGCCCATTCGGCCACCCCGCCCCCTATTACCACTGTTCCTGTATTGAAGCCTAGGAAAATGTTTGTATCGACTTTATTTATTTTAGAAATAAAAACAAAAGTAGAAAATACAATTCGCTAACACCCCGTGAAATTCTAAATCTAACGGTACCCCATTCATGGTAAATGAGCCAGACAGGAGCTTATATTTGGTACAAAACCGATTTCGAGCCTTACTGTAATAATATATGTGTGGATATAACTTTATGGCTCCCACAACCTGTGTCATAGCCACCTCTTTTGTTGTTTTAAATAATTAGAACCAAAATAATATTGTACAACCCTGTATGTATATATATATATACACTGAGCTTCTAATGCTAAAGGTCCTAGGTTCGAATCCTGGCTCATGGCAGACAAATTATTTATTCTGTTTCATTGGCGGTGAGGAGACCCTGGGTAGGTAGACCCTCCTGGGGCACAACTCAGCCTCTATAAAGGGGGTATCCTTAACTAAAATAATTAATTAAGGGGAAAAACCTGGTGGTTGAGTGTGATCTTGGTCAAATCACCTCCTTGCACAATGGTAGACCAAGAAACAGTGCTTTCCATAAATAGTACTAGAACCCAAGACCCTTCATGGGTTGCAGTGGTACGGATAACAAAACGTAAATCATGCTATGTTCCGGAACCCAAACAACAAACTGATCACCTACTTGGCGATTGGTGACCATAAACCATAAAAATGGTGTAATGGCGCCTCATGCGGTATTCCCTAAACACCATCAGTTGGCTTGATGCCATGATAGACCAAACTGATAAAGTTAAACTGATAGGATATCAAAATAATCCTGTCAATTCATTTCATCCAAACCAGTTTCCCTAAAGATGATATGGTAATTGTGCGACATCGCTTTATTTCGATGAATGGTTTAGTTATGTAAAGCCACCAAAGCACAATAACAGTTTGACTCTACTGAGTTTGAAAGTTTAATTAGTAATTCATATTTTTGTTACTCATAAATTTAAGATTCTGTTTTGATTTTGATTATAATTTCTTCATACGATTGTGGATGGTACATATTCTATAACCTGGATAATAGGGTATGAGGTAATTCATGAAAAAATAATTTCCAATACGACAGAATCACTAAAGATTTCACGGAATCATAGAGCACTTATAACTAGGATTTTTACAGAAACTAACGACTAACCTTTGCCAACTCCGCCATCTTAGCTGCTCTTTTTTTCCTCATCTGTTCTCTACGTTGTAGTAGCTGATTCCTCCAACTTTTCCATTTTGCTTCATACGCCTTGTATTGCTCCTGGGAAAAACATACACATGAAACTTAATTAATTTCATAATTCTTGTGCAATAAATTTTGTGCTAAGCATTTCATGACTCGGGCTAAAATCAAGTAAACAGGATTTTTTGCAAACGAATTATCTAAAGTCCTTGCGGCTTTTCATCAAGTTAAAAAAAAAAAAAAAATTGGATTCATCACAATTATCATCTCTGGTACAAATAATGTGACAACTCAATAACAGTAATTTTGAGTACATCTCAATTGAAATGGTAATGTATTTTTTTGTACAGAAAGTGATTTGAACCAATACAAGAACACATTACACAAAAGCGTCAATGCGCAATGTCCCTCATTGCGTAAATTTACATCTCCGTAATCAGGTGGGTCTTCTCTTTATTTTTATTTTTCTTTCTTATTTCAACCTTCTCAGTTTCCTTCCTCCTTCCTTTCATCCCTCTGCTGTTTTATTAACTCTGTATTATATTATACGTTGTCAATTTTCTATCTAACTATTCTATTCACAATATCTCAATTTTACTGTTTATTTCCATTTTTTATATAACTTCATATTTTTCTGTTTTTACATTTTATTCTAAGATTCCCATTTTAATACTTATGTCACCTTTTTTTTTTTTTTTTTTTTCATTATGTTTACTTCATCATTCCACACTTTGTACTGCTTATTATCATTTATCTCTTTGTTCTTACTATTGTCATTATTCTAACAACTGAATTCTATTTTAATTTTTTTACCTACACTACTTATGTTTCTCATACCTTGTTATCTGGTTCTTTTCTTAGCCCTGATGATGGCCTGAACTTCAGGTTGAAACGTCGGCTAATGTCAAAATAAATAGTATCATTTATTTTTGCCTTCTTATTTGATTGATCACCCTAACTATTCTTCTCTCCATTATTCACGACAGTCAACCATTTACCAATTATTATTACACAAATGTTTGATTTCTCCAAAGAGTAAAAACTACTAGATCCTGTCTCATCTGGGTACAAAACTAGATTTCTCTATAGAGAAAAAAAAATGCCTTTTTAAGATTTCTCTTGATTTGACTTTTCCACTCAAGTCATCCACTAATCTTACCTAAACAGTCACATTTTGCAGTTCACTGACAGCAAACATTCTCTTTTCTGACCACTATACCTTTTACCACAGAACTGGTCTACTCACTTCAGTATCATGCGGAATTTTATCCCACTTAATATTTACCATCCTTCTATCCTAGCTTCATTCATATACATATATTTCCAACATCTCTCATATCCCAAACCGACTTCCACTAATCACAGAATTTCAACAGTGTTTTTAAAACATTAAATTTTTCTTAATTAATAATTCTTTTTGATACTTAAGCTTAATTTTGTAAATTAATTAACATTTTTCCTTCTTCTTGATCACTCTCTTTCTTTATCAATAAGAATATCTTCTCACCAAAATAATTTATTTTTCTTTCATAAATTTTAATAACTTAATCTATTTCTGTTATAACATTATCATCATGAAATATATTACTAACTTAATATATTTCAAGATGATAATGTGTATATGTATTGTTTTTTTTTTTTATTAATTTATTTGGATAATTTATAATTTTGTTTTTTTGTTCATGTCTGTACATACCTCGCTCCAGAATAAAAGTTTTTTTTTATTATCTATAGCCAAACAGCATTCACAAATCATTATACAAAAAATAAAATAAAAATACGTGAAGAAATATAATTTGAAAGGAAAACAAAAGCTTACGGTGTCTGGATGACTAGCATTTTGTTCACGCCAAGTATTGAATTGCACTTCCCAATTATTAAACTGTTCATCAAATTGTTTTTCTGCTTCAGCCATTTCTTTAAGAACATCCTAAAAATAAAATTATGGCATTAACAGAGAAATTTATATACATCTGATACTGTTATTTATTTTATTATCTATTTTTTAATTTTCTCTTTGTAATATATTTTAAGTAGCATTCCTTTTAAATATCTTTAGCCAACACATATTGTAATAAGCTATTTTTATATATATATATATATATATATATATATAAAAATTATCAGATGAGTGTTGAAATGAAAATTATATCAGATGAGTGAAAAGCAAAAAATTGTACTAAAAAAGAGAAAATATAATAAATGAATAAAAAAAATATATTATTAGGCAAAAACAAATAGAAAAATTATGGTGAGTTTATAAAAACTTTTATCCTCAAAAGTTTATTAAATAAAAGTTCTATGCTCGAATGTTACGTTGTAATTCTATGCTATAAATGAATACTTTCAACTGCTTCTTGTATTTCTTGTATAGTAGAGATTCGGGAAGAGGCCATGTGTCCCCTTGCGTTAAAGATGATTAAAGGAAGGTGGCTCTTTTGTGTTCGTATAACTGGCAGTCGTTTAACATGTGTATGAAAGGTTTTGGAGTCAGTCCATCGCAATCGCATGCATCTGCCACTTGTAGTGGGATCTGTCAAGATATTGATTAGTCGGGGCGTGTTCAGTAAGGAATTGGGTTAGTTTATAATGGGTACTATTTGTTGTATTGTAGTTTTATGGGGTGATGTTTGGAATGTATTTATGTAATGGTGGTCCTTTGGTAGATTGTTGCCAACGTCTGTTCCACTCTTCGATTAAATCAGTCCATACATGTTTTTTAACGTAAGTGAAGGGGGGCTAAATTATATTCATAAGGCAGTTGAATATCACAAGCAGCTACTTTTGCCATTGCCTCAGCTTTTTCATTTCCATGGAGGCCGCTGTGTCTCTTTACCCAAATCAGTTGAGTTTTTATGTCCAAGAGTTCATTAGTTTGATAACATTGTTTCTAATTTGAAGTTAGTGGGTCTTGTATTATATTAGGTACTTTTTGTCTAGGGGGCCGGGCTGAAACCTCACTTCTTATCTATCTTATCTAACGTCACGCCATATAACCTCCCTCTTCTTATCCCGCCAAACCTTTGAGTTATAGCATTGTTTAGTTTTCAGTTATTCCCTTATTATGTTCACTTATTAAATTCTTTACTTTTGGCCCATTTGTGTTTATTTTACATTTTTTTTTTAGTTTGTGGCCCCTTTGTGTTTATTTTTCATATTTTTTCCGTTTATTTTCGTCATATTATGGATCTTCTTAGAATATGGGATTTGCCGCCTTCAGAAGAACAGGCAATTCAATATTTGCAAAATGTTGGGGTACTTGCCGACGTGAAATTGTGTGAACGATGTCATCGAATGAAGATAACCAGGAAGGCCAAATGGAGATGCTTTCGTAGGACTTATGACACAAAACTTTCAATAAGGAAAGGAACATAGTTGGAGGGCTTGAGGATTTCGTTTTTAAGAGCTTTAAAATTAATTTATGTGTGGTGCCATAGCTTGACAACGATGAAGTGGAGCAAAGATCAGCTGAAACTATTCTACAAAGCTATGGTAATGTGGAACAAATGTCTAAGAGAGGTTTCTGCCCATGACATGTTATACAGGCCAAGAAAAAAAATTGGAGGACCTGGCAAAGTGGTTGAAGCAGACGAAAGTCTTTTTTCTAAACGAAAAAATCATGTGGGGAGAGTTTTACCTCAGCAGTGGATGTTTGGTGGAGTTTGCCGAGAAACAGATGAATGTTTTATCTTTTTATAAAACAGATTTTATGTTTTATATTTTTTCTTTTCTATGTAAATATGTTCTTTTAAATGTGTTTTTTAATTATTTCATTTTGATGTTTTATATATACATATCTTAAAAGTGTCTTTTTATTATTTCATTAATATATGTGTCATAAAATAAAAGTTTTTTTTTTTGTTATTACTTTGTTTTTGTATCTGTTTACACTTTCAATAATACGGATTTAATACAATAATACGAAGATATGAAGTAGGAGAAGGCTTATCAATGTGTTATGGGAGTTATCAGTGTTCAGGTTATAAACATTGGCAGATAGCTGTCAGTAGCGGCCCCCTAGACAAAAAGTACCTTTTATTGTTTTTTATTGAGTAAATGGCAACTTTATTGTCAGTATAGATGTTGTAAATAGATTCTGTTTTGTCTTTTTGCATAAAATGTAGTCTGTAGCCTTTTATATATATAATATATATATATTTAAGAAAGACATTTGGAATACTGGGAAAGTAATAATACCTTAATTGCTTCTGCAGAATTTTCATCAGTCTTAGGTTTCTTGGCATCTGGAGGGCCAGGAGTAGTAGCTCCTCTTTTCTCATCTCTAAGAATATTATTAATATCAATTTTCATGTAATTAGTAATAAAGAAATGATTTTACCAAAGGTACACCAATATAGAACTCCAGTGTACCTACCAAAATAAATTTCATGAAACTTACCCTCCTGCAGTAGCTGTTGTAGGAGGAACACCCACCGGTACTGTATTCCCTGAAGTAGAGGAGGCCTGGGAGCTCTGCTGTACACTTTGCATGTACTGCAATTAAACAAAGAAATTTGAATAAGAATAAAAAATTCTAAAACTTACTGTAGGCCACTATATAGATTTTAAAGTCCAAATCATATAGAATACCTTGTCGCCATATTCTTGTTGCCATTGGGCATACTGTTGCTGCCATTGAGTCCACTGGTCCCATTGTTGTTGCTGGTTCTGAACAGGCCATGCTCCACCAACAGTCTTATAAAATATATTAGTGTTAGACAGAAGCTAATGGTGCTTTTTTCACTTAAAATTGAGAAAATAAAATAATAGATAGAAGCTAAATGAAATGAAAATAAATAAAACATATCCACACCTATGTACAATATTTACAGTGATGACAATAGTACTTAATTTAACGAATGTCTTTAGTCTGTATATTACAACCCTAACTAATAACAAAAACAGCTCGACCTGAAGTTTTTTGTTTAGTTAGGTTTCTTGCCAATTTTAATGAGGTCTGAGTGAATAATTCGCATAGTATATTGGTGAAGAATTACTCATTTTCTTTCATTCTTCTCCTTCTCCAACGCATATAGAACCAGGGCCTTCTCCAACTTTAACCGGCAGTCATCCCATAGCTGCATCCAGTCGTGGACTCTGAGAATAGCTTGGATATCAGCTTCCACTCCATCAGACCATTGACGTTTTGGCCTACCTACCCACTTTGGGTAAATTCACTCTCCTAATAATTTCCTCAATATATGATCTACAGGCGGATGTGTCCACCCCATCTAAATCTGCCAATCCTTATTATGCTAAAGACATTGGCGTTTCGATATAGCTCTTTCAGCTTCTCTTTTTTTATTTCCATTCCCCATTCCTCCTTAGTATTGAGAATTGCGTCAACTATTCTTCTTAGAATGTGACATTCAAATCAGCATAAGGGTTGCTGCTTCTTAGGTTCTTGATATCTCCCAACAATCCGAACCATATGTTAGGAATGGTCTAATTAAGGTTTTATAAATTCGCAGCTTTAAAGGCTAACATAGGCTCCAGGTCATTATACATTTCTGCATTTATGTTATTGTTTATATTAACCTAAGATCCAAGGTATATAAACGCAGTGACTCATTTAAAATTGAAGCCACCAATTTCCACATTTGATTCTCTGGGACCACACATCTTGGACATATATATTTCGACTGTACATACCTATTGGATTATATGTACTCGGTTTTATTTTATTCACATTTATATTTAACCCTAGAACGACACACTTAAATATGTCAATTCAATCTGACACTCTGTGGTGTGGTACTCCCCAAACTTGAAATTGCCATAAAATTTAATCATCATGCTCTGAAAAACCCAAATGCTTATCAGAAATAAGCTAAGTGACCAGGAAAACACATAAATAAATAAATTCAAGGTAATCTCAGAGAAGTAAGGTAACCTCATATCTTTCAAAACCCTTCGAAACCTATCTCAATCTTCATTGCGACGTGATAAGGCACAATTCTTTCATATCTCCTTATCAAAAGCACCAGATCTGAAGTCCACATGGAAGATCCTTAAAAATCTCTCCGTAGTAAAATCAAAAACCTGTACCTCCTATCCTGTTTCTCCTGATCAACTGAATTCTTACTTTGCCGATCCTATCTCAATACCGTTCTCCTCCTCACGCTGCTTTCCTAAGACTTCCTTTGTCCCTATAAATTTTTATTTTACAAATATCTCACAGGAAGACCTGCTTTCCTCTGTCCTAAATCCAGAACAAATGACTAAGGTCCAGATCTAATAACAATGAAATTAGTCAAACTATGTCTGTCTATCATTTTTCCTGTCCTATTGTATACTTACAATTTTTTCCTACAAAATTCCAGTTTTCCATCAGCTTGGAAAAAGTTATAGTCCGCCCATTGACAGTATTACCACTTGGGCAGGGAGTGATGACTGACTTAAAGTTGAACATCGAGAAGACCAAAGCCATTCTCATTGGTACCAAGCATCTTATTAATTTCATCCCAAACTATCCCCTTCTCTACCTCAATAGACTACCTATTCGTTTCAATACTTCTGTTATATTATATTTGTAGGTAAGTGAAAGTAAACAGGATTAGAGGATAGGAATTTCGTTCATAAAAAGAAAAAAATTTGCAATAAATTTTCTTATTTCATAGCAACGTATGCATATGTACCTTCCCTGAAATTGTTTTCCGAGGATTTCTCATCTCCTTTCATTAAAACAGAATGACACCCACATACGTAAATACAGTGTCTCGTTTCAATAAGATTGAAAACAACGAACATAAACATGAACGAACGAAGGCATGGCAATAAATCATTTCTTCTAAAAAATATTGTTTATTAAACATAGAAATTCAAGATTTTTAAGTGAATATGCAGTATGTTTCAATTAATAAAATGTATGTATTTATTAAGTTTTAACCACTTGATGTAAAAAGGATTTCCCAAAACACTCTCTGTATTTCAAACTTTTCATTAATTTAAATATCCCTCCCTTCCCCTCTCTCTCTCTCCATCCCGCAGCTATTAATGGATTGCACTTGATTGATTAAGTGAGATTGCACTGTACATTGATAGAAGCTCACAACCTCTAAGTCGGTAAATATTGATAAACTGCAAATTGCTGAATCAAACTTGATGATTTTGTCAAAAATTCATAAATATTTTACGTTTGCTAAATCTTTACGAAGTGGAAACAATGTGATACTCTGAATAGAATATTATTAATCTGAAAAGAGTAACAACAAAGCCATAAGTCATTATTGTGGAACAAATTAAAAAGTAATAAATTATTTTTTAGTCAAGATTGATTTCTGATGGTATAACATTCAGTTAAATTTTGAAAAACTAAGCAAAACGAAATAACAGCCTAAACCAAAACCAAAAACAGGGTCTTTCTTTAAAAAAATAAAAACTTTTTCTGTAAAAAAAATATAAACCAATAGAAAATATAGCACTATTATTATTCATGACGTTTTACTTAGAAAACAATAATTAAATATTTATCAGACCTTGCACTACGAAAGATTTTCCATTATTACATGATAAGAGATACATACATGGAGGGATGTGCATCCATGGTCAATTCATATTAAATAAAACTGTTTATCCTCAAGATTGCAAAGGGGCAACAAAGTAAACGGGAAGATAGATAACATGAAGTAAATTTTCAAGCAATTACTTAATATAAATTTAACTCATTTCAAATTAAATGGAATGCCTTAATTCTTAGTAAGTTAAATGAATGAGATACAACTGTGTCTCAACATAAGATAATCAACTTCATAATAGGGATATTTCCCGTTTTTTAAGAGTCTGTATGAGTGAAATTATCTTCAAATCTCTTACTCCAGCAAAAAGTTGAAATGGTAATAGTAACTTTTTATTCAGGGCTAGAACATATTCTTGTATCTTCCAAAAACTTTACTTAAATTAACTCTATGTTGGAGTACTACGTACTACAAGTAAACTAGTAGCTATAAATGAACACACTTGGCTACATTTAGCATTGCAGCGATCCATGTACAGATTGATTGATATGATCTTGGATACCCCGATTCCTATCCGTATGGAACACTACTGAAGTAGTATCAAAATTAGTACTCTTAGAAACCATCGATAAACAACAGGTAACTACGATGAAAAAATTAATAACATTTACGAAAATATGTGCATCAGACTAAGAAATGACTTTTAAATACTTCATATACCTCCTAGTTACTAATTGTAACCCTGAGGAATTGCTTTCTTTTCAATAAATTTCAATATTGCGGACGGTTTTATGATGAAAACACCATTGCTGAGTCACTGCATAGCAACGTATATAAACAAACAAGGTAATAGTTATGCTAAAGATACTAAATAAAACTTAACACTTACAGGAGTAACATTGGTAGCACTATAACTTGGCCACTGGTACCCTCCCATCGTGTAAGGCAGTGATGAAACTGTGGGCGCAACAGTCACAACTGGCGATGGCATGGCCGCAGGGTACCCAGGCAGAGTATAGCCTGTCGTTGCTTGAACACCCCATTGATTCCAAGGTTGCATGATTATAACCAAGAAAGACAAGAGTACTATCTAATCCAATGCACCAATAATTTACCTGTTATAAAAGTAAATAAACAATTAGTAATTTAGTAACAACTAAATACAAACAACAGAATGACAAGAATCAGTAAATTAAATTCATAAGATCATCAAAGATCTTAAAAACATTGATTGCCATACAACTCTAGTAAAGAGCAGGCATATCAAATTTTAGAGAAAAGGAAGAAATAACATTATATAGAAGTATACAATAAAATAACTGAAAATATCTTACCACTTGTTTAATATTCGAAAAACCGTGATAACGTAGAATTAAAATCTAACTGATTGTGGAGATCAAATTCTTCAGCTTAGCTGTAAATGAAAGGTGTGAGTCCTTTGTAGGCACGTAAAACAATGATTTCGTCCAAATCCTAACATAACTTAGTAATATATTTACTTCTAGAGAAAAACACTAGTGTTTTCTTTAAGTTAAATATACAACTCCATGATAGCAGAAGCGAACACAACTCAATGTCACTGCCTTTTAAATTGATGCTTCACTACTAACAATTGTATAGCCTAACCCCAAGCTAACCCATGTATTGGTTATAACAAAAAATGGTGGAGACCCCTTTTGTCAACCATTGCGGTATTTTATTATGAAAAAATCTTACATACAGATCAGTATCTTATCAATTAAATAAAGGGATATGAAATCGTATAACAATATTTAAAATAGTACCTCAATGTAACTAAATGAGATTAAGATGTCCTTTGTTATATTTTAAAATAAAGCAGTTACCCTATGCTTCATAACTTTCTTTATTAAGTCTATTTTATATTCGGCAAGTTATATCTCTCTATGTTTTGACTGTCGTGAAATACTGTTGCGAAAATATAATCAAATATTAGAAAATGTTTGGTTGGAAATTGCGCAGATTCGCTCCAAATTAACTAATATTTCAATTTCATCTGTTCATACAGTTGATTATAACTAAAATATTCTTTTAGAATGATTTCTTTAGTTTAATTTATTTATATTTTTACTGGTCAATTTTTCCTCGTTGAAATTACGTGTCTTTTATCAATAGCAATTTAAAATGTTCCAAATGGGAAGGGATGGTGCTTTTCCATTTTAATTCAACAGTTTGTATGGACTTAAATAGTTTTTTTTTTTAGAAGTGCAGAAGAAAGAATATGGTTTAAGGTTTTAATTTGGGGCCTATGATTTTATCACCAGAACAACTTAACAGTAATTTATACCGGAATAAAAGGCGGATTAGCCATACTGCGCCTACAGGAAAGCAAGAAAATACTGCCTCCTTCAAACGTTCCAATTTCTTATTGTTTCTATATTTTATTTATTTACTGCCCTGCCTTGCCTTTTGGCAATATAGGATTCATCAGTAATAGCAATTAGCTATATAACGCGTACTGCCACAATTACCAATTTTCACTACTTCACAACCTTTGTCTTCTGACTAAGATAGGATCCTTCTATTACTGCTCTCCAGAGTGAATATCACATTTCGTCGACCTACAGCAGATAGTATGAGGTTTGTCTTCTTTCCCAGGCTCCTAAGTAAAACATTCCAGCCGCAAATGAAATATAGGTAAAAAGGAAATTTTCCTCAATTACTAACTGAGGAGCTTTAGGAGGAAGTAAATCCCTATACTTCTCATTAATGTGGTTCTTAACGCCTCATAAGCGGCGCAGCAGGCCATCTGCCCTGATGTTTCCGCAACACCACACGGTGGACCTATAGAATCAACATCAACGCCAAGTTGAAACTTGTCTCAAAGTCTAGTGAAGGACATTAAAACCAAATAGTTCTGAAAAACCCGCTTTGACTGTAGCCTCAATCGCAAAGAACGAAAGTACTTCCTTCGGTGTACTTACACACTGCCTGATCCATTCTTCAATCAATCAATCTCTTCCTCCTGTTCCTTTCCATCGCGCATACCACTTTATTTCACATAGTGTATTTCACAGTCATAGGAGTTTGTCTCGTTTTCCTTGCAGGTCAGGGAAATTATACTACATGTATAAATAAGTAAACATTAATTATATCAATATTTATTCATTTAAAGGAAAGGACCTGTTTTAACTTTAAATTAAGGTAAATGTAAATAAAATAACGAACTACATGGGTACAATAATATTTGTTAAATAGTAAGTGGATAATACTGGAATACTGACAGTTTTATAAGGTTATAACGCTGAAAATAATTAAAGAAAAGTCGATAATACTGAAATGTTTAAATATGCTACTAAAATAATTTGATGGTATTCAAAGATTCCGAGTCTAATTTTCATTGAAATATTTCCAAGTATTCTTTTTAAACAAATAATGACCGCGAGAAGTCCATTGTCGCATCCATCATCTATACAAACAAACTTCACATTACCAGCGGCCTCCTGCTTCTCTAGCCGGGAAAGGTGTGTTAAGATACGGATGGCCGAGCGGGCTAATGCGTGTGTAAAATAAGCGTTTCTCGACAACCTGCTAAACCGAACATTACGAGTTCAAATCTCGGGACCGGGATAACTATGACCTAATTCCCACGCCTTATCCCCTGGACTTGGGAAATAAAAACTTATAACCTAAAAGAGGAGGAAGAGGATAAAAAAAAAGGGGAAGATGTCTGTTCCCTGACGCATTCTCTTCTCTCTGGTCTAATTATTCACATTCTCCGATTCTCGAGATGCCGGGTGGATATGAACAGAGCCGCAGAGCCATGGACTGAAACAAAGGGACCCAGAGACAAATTTCCCAGGCATCCGTCAACTATAAAATTCACCATTGAAAATCAATCTTCGTCCTTGTAAAGTAAACAATACTTTTAAATAACCTATCTTTATATTTTGGATTTATAACTCAAAGTTGCATATTGCCCAATAATCCACTTTTGTTTATAGTAAAGTATAAGTTTAAAAAAAAACCCAAGAATAATGCTGAATGTGTAAAACTAAGTCGAGTATACACTTAAGCATTCTCCTGAAATGTTACAAAAGAAGAAAAGCGCACGATCACGACTCGAATGAGAAATGAGCCACTAATTCTGAGATCGTACACACGGAGCACGAACCAAGCAAGTGCTCACTGTCATGTACCAATAACTTTCAGACCAGGCCGAGACATGCGGATCCGTTTGGTTTGGCTTTTAGTAAAATATGGCGAATGTTCAAGTGTATACGTGACTCTAGAAAGCGGCAGCCAAGGCAACACACAACCGAGACAATTGGGAATTCATTCTGGATGCTATGACGTACTAGCGAGTTGTACTGTTTATAAATAAAAGAAGTAAATGGCAGTAGGATGATGGTAATCTTGAGTTAATGCATAGACTTAGGGTGTGACAAGTCTTAAATGTTCCTCTCACAATACATGTTCCTGAAAGATGGAATCCATCGAGTTTTGATAAATTTTTCAAGACATAATAATGGACTTATAACAAATAAATCCGAAAATTTAAAATTAATTGATACACAATTTCACAACTTAAGTTCGACAATTTTATCCAAAATGATAATGGACGAAATCCACAAAATATGCAGAAGAAGAACTGCTTGGACTGTAGTCGGTATGTGGAACATGAGGATAGTTCAAGTGCAGGCGTTCCTATATGCAGACGGTACTGCAGGGAACCGACTCTCAAGAAAAACTGCAACAGGCCATTATACAATGATAAGGAAGAACTCGCTCGTAAAGAAATGGATTTCCAATTGTCGCAAGAATAAGGTCATGACTGTAGCAAGAGATGAGAGGGATGTGGGAGATATCAGAATGGAGAAGAGCTGAATAATGTTTACTGTAGTAGTGTTGTATTACGTACCTTAAAACAATTTTTAACATATCTGGGAAAAATGGCCAACAGAATGGTGGGAAAGAGAGAGGTAGGTAGGAATGTCTAACTCCACATCTATAAAGCAGTCTATCTCCCTACGTTATCATATGGCAATGAAAGCTGAGTCAGCCATGACAAGAACTTAAGTTAGATTATAGCTGCTGAAATGAAATTCCTACCAAGAATTTTGAGAAAAATCTAGAAAGACAGAGTAAGGAATGAGAGAATAAGACAGGAATTCCTACAACCCTAACTGGAAGCAACTATGGAATGCCAACAACTTGGATGGTATGGGCACATATGTAGGATGGAAGAAAACAGAGTACCAAGGAAATGCACGGAAGCACGCAGGACATGCAGGCAGGACACCTCAAGGCAGACCTAGAGAAAGATACCTAGAACATATCGTTTTGACACCTGCAATGTTTTCAGACTCTTCAAGATGTTTCATCGCTGGAGGTGATTTAAACGCCAAGCAACACAGTTGGGGTTCACAACTATACACCCCAAGAAGTAGAAATCTATTGCGTGCCCCCCATGATCTTTCATTAGACACAATTCACCCAGATACTCCGACTTACTGACCAAACTCTGTACATAATACTCCCGACTTACTCGACTTTTTGGAACAAAAGGACATAAGACTGTAGTTCATGTCGTTAAATAGAGCTCTGATCTTTGCTATGATTATTCCTTGATTCACTTTGTTCTTTGTGATAAGCCTTCTAACGATTCCCGTCGTATACACGGATATTTAACAAACTTAAAATTAACTAAAAAGACAAATACAAAAATTTAACGAGACCTATTATGAATCTTACATTGAAAACTTAGAAACTGACGATGGAAACTTGTGGAGGCATACAAAATATATCTTAAAACACCGCACGGCGTCGGCACCTGTTAGGAAAGAAGTCGGTTCTTGGGTGTGACGGACGAAGAAAAATCTGAACTCTTCGCTGACTGACTTACATCTGTTTTCACTAATACAAAACATGACGAAAACGTACTCAATACTTTAGACATTCCACTACAACTTTCATTCTCCACTCCACCTTTCACACCCACGGAAGTCACAGAACACATTAAACACTTCCCAAAAAAGAAAGCCCCTGGCCATGATCTGATAAATACTGTAGTGCTCCAGGAAATGCAAAGAGAGGCTCTAG